CAATTACGCAATTACAGGAGGTAAATGCACTCAGCTGGTCGTCATTAGGCTCCTCTCCAGACTATAAAAAGGCTATTTGTGCACACGCCCCTCTTTGCAGAAGTCAATGCAGGATTGAATGTTGGAGGACATTACTGTAAGCTTGGCAGGCTGGATTGCTGCCAAGCCTTATCTGTGTTTATTGCTGCCCGAGCTTGTCTGTGCCGGGTTGCTGCCAAAGACCTGTCTGTCTGTTAATTAAATGCCGTAATTTATCTCTGGCTTGGAGTGTGCTTTGGTGTGGAACGAGGGGGGTCAGAACAGATTTTCTTAACTAAAAAGTTCTATGGGAGCATTGTAAATGATGTTTATGGTTCTTAAGACTTCAGCTAAGATATAGGAAATTAGGGACCATCGAATAGAAATTCTCACACATCACTCAGCAACCCCATAATTATAGAAAGTATATCCTTGCATCCCTGCCCTTGTAAATTGTAGAGTTTAGGTTCACTGCTGCTGATGTTAGGAAAAAAAATATTTGTACATGGCAAATAATAAAGGGAAGAAACAGGATAATTTACAGTAAAAAGGTAGATGCAAACTGGTAGGAGCCAGGATAAATAAAAGAGTAAAATGTGTTTGAAAAGGACATCATCAAATCATTGGAGGAGAATGTAAATGTCTGGTGATGGTAGGGATCAGAAAAGTATATGGACATTGTGGAGCCAGAGTCTGAATTGGAATGGGCTCTTTACTAAGGTTTAAAAAAGACTTTTTTCTAAAAACAGAATGAAATATATAAATTGGTGAGTTTTGATGTGCAAGAAACATAAGAAAGATTAGCCTGGCTATGGTTCATGGGAAAAAAGTGAAGACATGAAGTCATTAACAGCCATGTGGATAGACAAAGGGAGATACTATAATAAAACTATATAACTTATTTATTTATATCCAATGACAAGACACAAATAAGAAAGGCAGATATTGTATTGTGATAAGTTCATGCATATTTAATCCTTTTTCTGAGAAGTTTTTCCTTGGATTCCTATTGTAACAAAGCCAGCCTAATAACAAGAATAAAGTTGTACCATTTCCTCTATTTCTGAAAAAGAGATGACTCATGAGTAATCAAAATACAGAAGAAAAGTGGCTTCTTGTTCTTCTATCTCTGTTCAGTGCTCTTCTCAGGAGGCAATGACATGCAATGAAAGAATTAAACTTTTAAAGTATGTTGTGTGTTTGTCCATGTGTGTCTGTGTGCACCTGTGTACATGCACATGCACACACAAACGCAAGCAGACTTTAAAACTTACAGAATGCATTGTTAGATGCTTAGTACAAGTCTTTCTCCAGGACAAAAGAGGAATTCACCACAATCATAGTATTGCTTGAAATTCTTGTGCCTATAGAATGCGGTCTAGTCTGTGTACTGTTATTGCTTCTTATTGAGAGTAAATGGTTCCTGTTCTACCCAATCAAATTGCAATTGTTTTTTATTAGATTTCTCAGAAGAGAGTAAAGTGATCTGTTAACATTCTCACTAGGTTTACACTTCGTTTAAAGTAACTTGTGAGGGATCTTGGGGAAATCAGATTCTTGTACCAAGAACAACATCTGCTTTAACACAATGCCTATGTTTAGATCAGTGATGACTTTCAACAAATTATTTCTTTTTTCAGAAGTTGTATTGATTAAGTGGCCTTGAAGTTTCCAGTTCAGTGATTCTTTCATTGTAAATAATCAATGGAAAACTTTTTAACTACTGCACTACAAAGTTTCCTAAAGCAAAATAGTTGTGGAATGTAGAATAAGGTGACCAGACGTCCCGCTATTGGCGGGACACCCCTGCTTTTTAATGCATTTTCCCACGTCCCGCATGCTTTTTTAAAAAGCACGCTTTTTTTGGCGCTCGCAGCTCCCGCCCATCAGCTGCTAGCTTGCTGGGCTGGCTCATTATTCTGTTCTCTATCCTACCTACCTACAAATTTAAGCCAGCCCAGCCTGCTGCTCACTGATTGGATTGGCCTGGACTCCAGCCAATCAGTGAGCTGGCTGGGATGGGAAATTTTCAGCACGCCTGCGCGAGTCTCCATTTCCTTTCGCCAAAAGACGAAAGAGGTTGCAGCTGCGCTGACTGGTGAGTATTAAGAGCCGCGAGCGGATGGTGTGAGATCGCCGCCCGGTAGCCGCCAGAAGCCGCTCCCGGCCGCGGGCCCCTGCCCTGCCGCGTCCAGCGTGTCAGCAAGCGGGTT